AATCTGTGCTCCACATCAGTCTTGACCCTCTCGGAATATACCAAAAGTATAAGACTTGTGTCGCAATAGGTAAATTTATCCAAAACGTGAGTAATCTTGATTGGATGTTCATAAGACTACACGTGTACGTGTGTACCGACTCCAATTGTTCTTTATGTCTATTTCATTTGGCTGATTAAGTCCTTAGAGTTATCTATCCTTCAAAACAAGATTCACAAGTTTGGTTTAGGCTCATCTGCCTCACTAGGTAATAAACCTTCTTTAACCAATCTTTAAATCTCATTTTGATTGATTACAACCCAAAAATAGACACCAAAAATACAATGAGTCAGGAATAACAAATTTTCTCTTAACATTCAATCTAGAAGATGCAACATTAGTTTCTACATCCTGCAAATCTTAAGAGCTTGTGATTATAGTATATTAACCATCTTTCGATGCACCAGAAGCAATCGCATATCTATTCAATTTTATAAAACCAGTTTTACAAAATAACGATCTAGTTTTTATAAGCCAAAAGTGAAATAAGAATGAGATTGCGTTTCACTTCTGTGCATAAAGATAGTTCTCTAATACTAATATCCTCATACTCTCTAATTTCAGATGTAATACTCCCACTGACTTAACTACAACCTTGGCATCAGGTCAAAAGATAAATATATATCCATATCATCAAGGCTTCTGGATTCCTGAAATCCTTACAATAAATTGCAAACATGTTTAGTGGCTCCAGAATCTATCCATCAGGAATTAATAGATACAACCACATAACATGGCTCAATGATTAAATATATATTTTCCTATGCCACGTCATTGCTTAGACAGTTTGTCCTTTAGTGTCTTAGTTAACGGTAAAAGAAACAGTTTCATTCGCCCTCAGCATACACTGCCTTATTCCCTTTAACCTTTTAGATACCTATGTTTTGTGCTAGCCTAGTCCTATTATCATCCTTCTTCTTTGCTTTGCCTGTCCACTTAGGCCTAGAAGAAGATGGTATGGACTAGGTTAGATTGATAGGAACGCCCATACTCTTGATTATCCCTTCATCTGTTACCAATTCTATAAGAATATCAGCGAGTGTGAACTCAAACTGATTCCTTATTTAGTTCACTATAACAGAATCGAACGAGTTTGGTAACAAGACAATAATCATGTTAACTTGAAACTTACCACCCAAGTCAGCCCTATTGATCTCCAGCTAATTTTATATAATAAACAATCATTTTCCAAAATTTGATTTCAAACTGGAGTTCATGAGCCTATCTTGATGTATTTAAATTTGACACAGTACTTAGGCATATGCTGTATCTAATCTCACCAAAATATCTCATTGACATTTAATATGATGCTTGAAGAAAATAAAATAATACAAATGTTAGCTTTGGAGTATATTCGAGCTAAACTCTAGAATATTGCACCAAGTCATATCATTTGCCTTATCTAATTTATTAAAAGCATTAATGTCAAATTTGGTATCTCAAAGTAAAAGAGATAGGTATAGGAGTAATAAACACATTTTGTACCCTTACGTTGTGAATAAAATAACTAAGTTCATTTTCCAGTCATTATAAATAAGGTCCAATATCATAGAATATGTAAGCAAGCAGATAAACTGGATTAGACATAATTAATCTGAATATAAATGCATTCATACAATATGCAAGGTGAACTATTAATAATGTCATGCATATTTAAAATTAAAATGAGCTTGTTAACCACATAATACAATAAATCTCAATCGAACAAGAGATCATTATCATTATTGGTGAACAATCCCTTTTAATTAATGCGGGTCCCTCAACTCTGTAGCATAATAAATCAACTAATCAATATGTCAATAACTTATCCTGTTGGAGGAGTTCATTATTACTATTGTTGAGATTCATTTGCTATTAAGCGAGCACTTCCATTAAAATAATAATATGTGGGTCCCTTAACCACTGCATGAAAAATCGAATAACCAATACGCCAATAACTTATTCGGTTGGCGAAGTTCATTATTGCTATTGGCGGGCAAATCCCATCATTTCCATATCTCTTAAGACAATGCATTGTCTATCATATGAAATGATTCCCGATTTAATTTAGCCTTTCTAAAATCATCTAGTATAGACCACTTCGTTGGGAAGCTAACACTATTGATTTTAGATTAAGTGTATAACGTTATTAAAACTCTAACGAAAAATTAAACATTAAATATGTTGTCATTATAATCTAGACTCTTTAAATCATGCGTAGGGCCTTATTTTTAAAGATCTAATTACAATGAACATTTAATATTTGTATTTTCATGAGACAACCATTCTTGTAATATTAAGACTCTTCAAATCATGCGTGGGGCCTTATTTTTGAAGATCTAATTACAATGGTGTTAATAACGAAGGCCATGGGGCAATGTATAAAAATCTCCGCTCCCACTCAATTTTTAATCATTCATAATTAGGGTTTTCATTTTATTCATTTACATGATATAATGCATGCAAAACGTCTTGATTTTAATCCAATTAAATTTAGAAAATATTTGGACTTTAAACGATTCACTAATATTTAATTTGAAGCACACTTTAAAAATAATTTACAAAAAAATAATTTTGCGTTTCCCAATAAGTGCCCTCAAATTAATTAGTAATCAAATCCAATTAATTTTCATAACTTAATTAATATAAATCAAGCCATTTAAATAAATATCATGGATCCAATGCATGAATAATAATTAATTAACAATTATATATTCCATACATTTCATACATCACATAAGTAAACAAATAACAGATAAAGCAAATAAAATGGCCAATGGAATCAGCTTTTAACATTTAACCACTCTAAGTATTGCGCGAGGATCATCCATCGGCTTGCAAACACCCACATAAGGCTGGTACGCACCGGGAGAAGCAAAACACCGCTTGGAACGCGCCTGGAGGGCCCCACACGCGCTTACACATGCCTGGGGCACGTGGGACGCGCCCCCACGCGCTGGCACGCGCGTGGGGCGCGTGGGACGCGCCTGCACGCGCCTGCATGCGCGTGGAGGCCATACCACCTTGGCTGGCTCGTGCAATGCACGTGCCAGCATATGTCTCCTCCTGGCGTGTGTTCCTCACGCGCCAGGCTCACCCCACCTGCACCACATCTGATCCCAGCCTTCTTCGACGCTTCTTCTCGCCGCCGGCGATGCTCCGGCCACCGGAAAAACGCCGAAAAATTTCAGAAAAATCAGAAAAATTCCCAGAAAATTAAATTAAGCCTAAAAAAATTCCAGAAAAATTCCAAAAAATTCGAAAAAATTCCAGAAAATTACTGAAGCATAATTTAACCCTTTTGGACCTTCTTGAAGCTTCATAGCATCCTTTGACGAAGATTACATGGCTTTAAAAATATTTACAATTTGAAATACAATGAAAAAAAATTAAATTACATCATTGAACTTTCAAACGGCTAAATCAAAGCCTTAATTATATTCATCCAAAGATAAAATTACATTAATTTAACCTATAAGCTTCATCCATGGCCCAACCATACATCATCATTCATTCACAATCATTCATACATCATTATGTATCAATATATATCAACATATTAAATCATACATCAACATACATCAATAAAAATATATATGAATATAATTTTGGATCCATGAATGATGATTTTCATAAAATCATGATCTCTAGTAATGAATCAAACCATGCTCTGATACCACTGTTGGGAAACGTGCTAGTTTTAAAAACTTTTCGAGGGATTTTAATTCATAGATCTTGATTCATAACATAGAGACAAGTTTTATGCAAAAATAAAACATGATGTATCATTCAATTAAAAGATTGAATACTTACATCAAGGTTTGAGTAAACCTTAGATCTCTCCTCTAAAGTGAATGTTCTCACTTATTGTAGATCCCTTTTGCTAGACATCTTTTCTATAGATCTCCATCTCCATCTTCTTGGTAATGGTCTTGCCTTTAGGTATCACTCATAAGCCTCCATGAATGACCTTGGAAAACTAGGCTTGTGGGAGCCTCCATTAGATGAGAACATAAACCCTAATTTTCTAGAGAGAGAAAATAAATTCATTTTTCCTTCTCATTAAAAATCACCCCTAAAATATACATAGACCATGTATATTTATAGGTAACATAAAGGTAAAGAAAAGGAAACAACTAATCCTTCTCAATCTCTAATTCACATGTCTCAAATCTAATATGATTCCAATATCAAGTTGGGCTATGAGTGAGAATCCATTGGGCCTATTATTTTATTGGCTACAATGAATTAATGATTGGCCCGGTCCATGGACCCAATTAAATTAATTCATAAATTAATTTCTACTCCACTAAAAGAAATTAATTGAACTCCAATTAAATAATAAATAACCTCTAAGTCAATGTTGCACTTTGACCCCTCTATGCATAATTAGTTATCGGATAAATAATGCCATCAATCCGACTACTTAATTAATATATTTATTTTGGTACCTTTGATTATTTCTGGCTCGATCACAATAAAACATTTGTTCGACAAAAATAATAATTTAATAAATAAATATATAATAAATCATTTTGTCTAAAATCATACGAAGGCCTTCGAATTTACTTTGTGATCAATCATAATCAATACAAAATAAATACAAGTAGCAATGATGCAAATATTGAAAATATAACCCTCTAACTATTAATTACATAACTACCCGAAGTGTCGGTCTAAGGATCCCGAAGAATCCGCCGAACAAATCAAAGTAATTATTAATTAATAAAAGAGTCTATACTTTTCTCATGCTTAAGAGTCAAAAGCTATGACGGTGATAGGGAGTAATTGCATACGACGGCTCTCGCAATATATCTCAACCTAACGCGGATCCAGTTCAAGTCTTAATTAATTATGAGTCCATCCATAATTACCGACTATGAACAATTTATAATTACTATTTATATATCATGCATTGATTGCCATCACATACATATACATAAATATTTCTTGTAATTACATGGACACTATCAATTTCATAGTGAATCGAAATATAATACATTGAATTCACCAATTGTATAAAACATAAATATTTCAGAAACGTCAGAAACATATGTCAATTAATCCAAACAGGAATTTGCTATGCCAGGGCATATAAATCCCAACAGATCCCTTACCCGATCCTTCATCTTACTGGCACCGGCAAATCGTGGGAACTCTTCAGTATCTTACCTTGACAAAGCCTGATATAACCTATGCTATTAATCAAGCCTGCCAATTTATGCATTCTCTGACAACGGTACATTTTACCGCTGCTAAATGCATTCTTCGCTATATCAAAGGCACCATTCATATGGGAATTCATCTCAACTCAAATTCCTCTCTTGCACTTACTGCCTTCCCTGATGCTGACTGGGCTGGCTGCCCTGATTTTCGTCGTTCTACAACTGGATTCTACATATTTCTTGGTTCTAATCTTATTTCCTGGTCTTGCAAAAACCAACCCACTGTTGCCCGGTGTAGTGCTGAAGCTAAATACCGAGCTCTTGCCTATGCCACTGCTGAACTTATTTGGCTCCATTACCTTCTTTGAGACCTTTATATTTGTCCCCCTACACCCAGTTCTCTCTACTGTGATAATATATGTGCCACATATATTGTTGCCAATCCCGTCTTTCATACCCGCACCAAGCATGTTGAGATTGACTATCATTTCATTGAGGAATTAATTGTAAATGGAACTCTTTAGGTGCACTTCATTCGATCAGACCATCAAACTGCTGATATTTTCACAAAGGGTCTCCCCACGTCTCGTTTCCTACATCTTCCTGACAAACTGATGTTTTGTCCTTCTCCTGCTTGTTTGTCCTCTGCATCCGTTTGTGGGGGAATATTAAGACACTCAATTAGGTAATGTTGCTGTCATAGGCTGTGGTCAATATTCCTTTAATATTGGGATATGATAGTGGTTGTCATCCCTTTGATTAGGGATTCGATTAAATGATTTATGGGATGTGTTTGTACCTATATATATATATATATATATATATATTTGATCATTGTAAATGTAATACTGCAAATAATAAAATATACAGAGCCTTCACTTTTCACAGAGAGAGAGCTATAGATTGTGTTTTAAATTTTAGCTTACTGCATTCATTGATCGATCGGAGAAGCATTTTAACTGAATTCAAAGCAAAAAAATATCAAATGATTCGAGTCCTAACCTTATAGTCACCAACCTCTTCGTTGCCGTCCTTTAATTTCTCAAACAGAGGCTCAATAGCTTCACTTTCGGAACCAAATTACCATAAATCTTCTTCTAGGTGTGAGGCACTTGGGCAGCTTAGAAATGTCCCTTACGGTCTTGCTGAGTTAACCCACCAACGCGTCATTAGGATCGTCCATTATAACAGTATAGATCACCAATTAGAGCTCTAGGAAAGGCCCACAAGAATTGAAGATTTTTATGTAATTAAGAAAGGCTAGATGAGAGAATTGCTTGAATTCTGATAAGGTTTTTTTGCCAGACAAATCAACTCCCCTACTTGACAAACACCTTTAAGAGACTGAAAAGTACAAAAAAAATATAGGGTCTTGGTGTAAATTCAGAAACCCAAATACGAAAATTGGTTGAAATTTCTGGTTGAGGTGAGAGAAAATGAGGTATGAATGTACAAAATAGGAAGGAATTGATTGGTCTTGGATAATGCTAAGGTACAGAGTGTGGTGTGAAATGAAGTGTTTGGCACTAAAATGAGGCAGTAGTGTTGGGTGTTGTTTTGCTCTAAAATAAGTTAGTGTTAGGTGGTGTTTGTGGTAAGATTTGATGTGCTGTTGAATTTCTATTTGCCCATTGGGATTTCATTTGACATATCAGCAATAGGAGAGAATATTAGGTACCCCAAGGGTACCCCGTCAGCCTATCCACCTGCTACCCCAATCCAAAAAAAACATGACATGTTGCTAACTTTCCACATCAGCTTCATACTAAATATGACATGAAGGCACTAACGGAGACGTCATCAACTTTCTTTCTCTCTCCTCAGCCCTCCATCCTACTTTCTCTCTCTCTCCTCAGCCCTCCATCCTACTTTCTTTCTCTTTCCTCATTGAGTTAACTACATCACCAAAAGTAAAAAAAAATATTCAGAGAACCAAGTAAGAGGTCCTATGCGCGCCATCGCCGCCAACTCCGGCATGAACGTCGTCGGAATCACCATCAACGAGTACCAAGTCAAACGTGCTCATATACACAACAAGAAAGCCGGATTGGACTCCTTGTGCGAACAATCAAAGACCCAATACTCTAAATGAACTTCCATCCAAACTTATTTTTAATCACTCAATAATGAACAAAAAATGAGGGTTTTGAACACAAGGCTAGGTAGAACCAGTATAGGTTTCGCAAGTGAATCGGTTGTCGGCCGCTTGGGTTAAAACCGGTAAAGCTAGCCGGCCAATTCTTGCTCGCCGGTGCCGTGCCACGAGTTCATCATAGCAGAACTCACCACTGAGAAGCTCACAGCAGAGTTCTCCTTACCCACCGGTGCCGCGCCGCAAGGTCACAACCGACCTCTCCATAACCCATTGCCGGCACATGCCGCCATCGCCATCGCTGCACCAACCAACCGAACCAGGAATCCTTGCCTGAAATTGCACATCGCCGATTCAGTCCACCGTACCGATTCTATCTCGACATTGCCATCATCGTTCTTCGCCGAATTCTCAACAACCAACATACTTCTCGGATGGGCCATCATCCACATGGTAACTGTGACGGCTCAAGTTTTTTAACTCGGTGCGTCAGTGATGAACCGAAAGTTGACCCCATAACGGATTCGAAATACGGAAGCGAAAGATAAAACCAAAGTTTATAGAGATATAAACCATCCCCAAGACACCAATCTGACCTTCTAAGAAGTCACGGAGCTCAAAGAAATAACCGGAAGGGAAAACTAACACGAAAAGGGTCAAATGGTACCCTATGGCACCAATGACAACCAAAAGGACAAAATCTAGTTCAAACTAGACCACATACACCAAAACTAAAAAAAAAAAAAGAGACTTTAAGCCTCACTTGAATTCCCCATTGCATGATCAAACTTAATTATATGCAAGTGTGTGATGATGTGAACATACACGCAAGTGTAAAACAACATTTTAAACGTGCTGAAATGGCCTATGGCCTTATTACAATTCATTTACAACATTTAACATGTCAAACCCCTAAGTTGGAAAAATTACATTTTATAGGCAAAACTTAAACATGCTAACACTTGCATGTGAACAAGAATGCTTCTAAAGAAACTTCAGTTCTGCAAATCACCAAAGCAAGTGCAAATCTCCAATCTTGTATCATGTACCTGAAATATGCCCCAGTAACTTTGGGGTGAGCAACATAAAGCTACTCGTAGGAAATGAGTATGCATCGACCTAACGTTTTACATGTTTGCATGATTTAAATATCGTGGTTCATTCCACCTAGTGTCTATGTCAAAGGTGAGACTCAGGGAGCATCCTAAGCTGCCTGAGATCATTTCTAGCATGAAACACATCATTCATGCAATTCAAACAACATAGGAGCATACTATACAAAACGATAAAATATAAATTCTCAAAGTCATCAACTTGAAATCTAAAATGTGTAAACAACTAAATATAACCATTTAGCATAATTGGAGTTTCTAGTACCACACGTCAAGACATAGATCCTCAAAGTAATTAACTTGAAACCTAAAAGTATATAAACGACTAAAGTGGGTCATGCCACCTAACGTCTATATTCCAAATGAATCTATAGGATCATTCCTAAGTCATATTTGAATAACAGAATATGAATTACAATATCTATGCAATTAACCAACATAGATGCATGCTATACCAAGCAACAAAACATAGATTCTCAAAGTTATCAACTTGAAATCTAAAATACCAAATCAACTAAATATAGCAATTTAGTATAATTAGAATTTCTAATACCACACATCAAGACATAGATTCTCTAGGTTATCAACTAGAAATCTAAAAGTGCGAAATCAATTAGTGGAACACTTGGACATCTAAGCTCGGAATTTTGCCGAAACCTCAACGGCTATTACGGGGACTAACCCGCTGGTAATACCACCCCTAGTGCGCACTACCTCGACGGGGAGAACTCATACCTTCTGCACTAGAGCCAAACTCTAGCCATATCATAGTAACCATGTCCCAAGTGACTCCAAAATACATAAGTTAACAACTTATATACGTATTGAATAGTACACGAAACTAACTTCATACACAAGTAGGTTGAAACCACACAGTACATGCTCTAAATCCACAATTACTATAGGATGACAAATGTTGAATCTTCAGAGCGCGATTCGTTACGCGCTATAATAACATCACATGTCGAATCTTCAGTGTGCGATTCGTTACACGCTATAACAATATAATCTAATATTGAAACATAATCGCATAAATCCATTATAAGTCTAAAATCAAGCTTTAAATATAATATCAATGCTAAACACATGATTTAATCAATAATGCAATAAAAATGAAAATTAATTATATAGCCTAATTAATTTCTCTAAGTTTCATATCTCAATCAAATGAACCCTAATTAACACATGTTAAATAACATAACTTATTCATCACATGAATCAAATCAAAAGCTTACTTAGGTCATTGGATCAATATGATAGAATTTAATTAAAACATGATAATTAAATCCCTAAATTCTAAAACAAAATCAAATGGTCCCAATTTAATATATACGATTATACAAGTCCTAGTCCTCATAATTATCAAGTCAAAAACTTAATTAAACCAATGGAACCTTTGAATAGATTTTAATTAATCATTTTAATTAAAATCTCTAGATTTTTATACTTATCCAAATGCTCTTGAATTAAAGTATGTTAAGGAACATGCTAAGACTTAATTTAAAAGTATATCACAACTTAATTTCATACAAGATACGACCATGATAATTAATCTTTCACAAAAGAAAAATATTAAATAAAAAGTGCAATTATTATTCAAATAATCCCAATTTAATATATGTTAACAAACATATTAAAGCCTAATTTATCATCATGCCACAATCCAATTCTAAGTTATATACACCTTTGAAATTTAAATCTTATACAAAGAAATAAATATTACTAATTTTCTAGATTTGATACAAGGCATACAAATAAGTTGTATAATCATGCAAGACACTCAATACAATACATACAAAATCCTAAAACATCCCCTACCTCAATTTGAGATGAAAATCTTAAAAGCCCACCGAAAAAAAAGTGCTCCGAATCCAACGATACCGAAGGGTTTTGTCGGGGACAACACGATCTACATGAACCCCCAAGAAGCCCCATCAAAATCACAACTTGACTTCAAACCCAAACTCGAAAAATGGTAGTTCTAATAAGGGTGAAAGGTAGAGCACGACGAGGGAAACAACAAACGTTAAGGCCGAAGACTTTTCACTCAGGAAATCAAGTGGAGGAGAAGAAGAAAAGGTGGCAGCCTAAGGAGATACCATGGCTGCCAGCCAAGAGGGGGAGGAAGATGATCAAAATCTTACTTTTCTTCTTTAAGTCTCCTATTTATAGAAAATCTCAAAAAGTGCCTTGGAAGGGCCCCGCCGAGTCTGGAAAAGTGAAATTTGAGCAGACACACTCAAACGGAAAAACTCCATGAACAAAAAAGATTCAAAATGAGAAAATATGAACAAAGGAAGAAACGGCATAAAAAACTGAGTCCCGAGTAGAAAGTTATGCCTCAAACAAGTTCGGCGGCAACCGGGGCCAGAAACCCTGAAACTGGAAAACAACGACCAGGAGGAAATTCTAAGAGTGCACGACTCGATAAAATGTGAAAATGCATCCCGTACGAGGATCCAGACTCTAGACGAGGTATTTTTGCAATAACTTTCGTTAATTGTACAATGGCCCCCCTCCAAAAAGTGAAAACTGCACTAATGCCCCAGAAAGAAAATATCTTCCAAAAATATTTTCTTAAAAACCCCTGAAATAAAATATCTTCAATAGATATTTACGAAAAACACCCCAAGAAAAGAAAAAGATTTTGAAAAACTATGCATCCATGCCCCTATGGACACCGGGAGCAACCAGAGTACTTTCTTACAAAAGTAAAAATATATATTTCGTGGAAATCACTTAGAATGAAGATACATGAAGTCAAAAACCAACTCCGAACACAAGAAGTGTGGTTTTGCAAACAAAGTGACAAACGGGGAAAAGACAAAATAGGGAAAAAGACGAAATAGGGAAAATGACGAAAAGTGAATAGTGTCGAAAAATGAAAAATGTGGAAATGACTCGGTCCTCAAAAGAAGTTGTCAATCCAAAGAAAAGAGTCTCAGAAATCATTTCAGAGCACTCGAGACGACACTAAGTGACGAGAAACCGAACTCAGAAAGGAAAGATCAACGGAAAAAAAATATCCGTAAAAATCTGAGAAAAGGGAAAGGAAAGAAAATGACCAGGTCATCATAACCTTCCCAACTTTAAGGGATTTCGTTCCCGAAATCCAGCCCCAAGAAGACAAATAGGGGAAACCAGGATAACTACGGAGTACATCTCCGAGTATCCCACACAACACGCCACACCAGCGACTTCAAAGATTAAAGGAACACACAAACCAGTGTCATTTGCACCCATATGCTTATGACAAGACAACCTCTTAAAGAAAAAGTGACCACATGGCCACACGACAAGTCAGACTTCACACACTGAACCCAAGGCCAGACAAAGGAAC